CCCGCCAGCTGTCGCCTTCAATAACCACAACACCTTTTGCTTGGAAGAGAAGAATTTGGAAATCAACTGGAGAAGCTCAGAAGATGAGCATCTTTACTCGCGTGAAGGAAGAACACCCCAAACGCAATACTTAGTGCAATTACACAGAAATTAAATTTACGGAAGTGCTTTAATTAAGAATGGGTGAAATTGGACGCATGTATCATCATTCTAAATTGACATTGTCATGGATTAAGTGAGTTCTTATCAGGATATGAGTTTTTCCACTCAATTTTCCTGACTTAAAAAAAGCTTTAAATAGACAGTATTTGTAGCTGAATATACCTACTCTACACACAACAGCCTTCATTTAGATATTTCCCCATCTTTTCAACAAACTTTAATTTACAAAAAATCGAGGTCAGACAAAAATTATTATCGCCCCGGTTCGATCTACCCAGTGTAATTAACTATCCCAATATAAATTACACTAATAGTCGAGAAAATATTGAAAATAAATCATGTTATACATTAAAAATTTATCTACTAGAACTAAAATTAGGTAAAATGAGGATAATAGTAATTGTTATAGCAATATTAATAATTATAAATCGAAAATTTTAATTGAAATTCAGCACTATCATTTCAAAAATCAAAGCTAATTGGTCCTACTGCTTGAAGGAAAGCAATAGACAATGGGTACGTTTGTGATCTTTCCTTTCTTCTTGTTTCTGTATGACCTCGATCTTGATGAAGAGGATGAAGAAGACAATCTTCTCCTGAATGGAGATGGGCTTCTTGAGGGGGATGAACTGCTTGAAGATGAGTATCGACTTCGTGGTGGTGAACGCCAGGATGTAATTAGTGACTGCTTTGAACGACGTGAAGAAGACTTGTTTGGTTTGTGATTCCGTCGTACTATATAGGTTTCATCCTCACTATCACTGCTGCTTGTGCTGCTGGAACTACTGGTGTTATTTAATGAAAAGTAGTAGATTTTGGAAGAAAGGCGAGTATTTTCGGATCTCGATCTCTTGAAATTTTTCACCCTTTTAACCTTGGGTTTTTTATCGGCCATTAAATAGATACCTGGCTGTGGTTGAGAATGATCTTTAAAAAATTTTCTTTCCATTTCACTATCAGAACTTGAAGAGTCAATCGAAGTATAGTAGTTGGACGATCTGACACTTTGTCTAGACTTAGATTTCTTTTCCTTCTTCATCTTTCTCGGAGGGTTATAATGGATAAAGAAACTTTTATCATCAATATAGCCCATTGCAGTTGATCTATTTTTCTGTGGAATTGGCTTGGGGCTTGAAGAATTCCTCGAAATGGGTATTTGAATGAGAGTTGAAGTGGAGACAGAGATAGCTCTTTTAGAGTATCTTTGAGGTGGAGGCGATGGTGAGCCATTGTTAACGTAACCTTCACTTCTCCTAGCATTCGATGAGTATACTGAAGCAACCCTTCGTCTTTCAGAGTATGATGGGTAGGAATAAGATCTAGTTTTGGAGCGTGAGCTTGAGGACGAACTTCGCTGTGGTCGCCTAACCATAGATGAATGGGAAGAGGTACTACTGGAGGTCTTTCTTGCCGATCTACGGTGAGAACTAGGACTTTTCTGACGATGAGTGCTTTGAGAAGGTGTGTGCCGGGATGCTGTTTGTCTTCTAGGAGAAGGTGAATAAGTCGAATTTCTGGCAGGTGGAGAACTTGGACTCCGAGTTACTTCTTCTCGAATAATGTCACTTGACGCTACCGGAGGCACCTGGTTTTTCAAGTTATGTTTTGGTGCCAACTGACCAGCTTGAAGAATCTCAGTTAACTTGTTGGCCTTTTCCACGGTTGGAGCAGCGAGAATGACATACTGTTTTGGGATATCATTTGCCTGAACACCCATCACGACGAAAGCGGGACTAGTTGTGTACTGATAGAATGATTTAACAGCCGAGTAAGGTAAACGCTTGAGTTGAGGCGATTTTCCGACTCCCTTTTTCTTGAATTCAATCGCTTCTTCCCCTGCTAGAAGGGTAGCTTTTATTGCCTTTTTCTTCTTCAGTTGATTCTTCAATTCCTCTAAGGCATCAACAGGATTGTGATTGGCCTTTGCCTTGACCTTTACAACATCGTACATTTGAACTACCTCATCGTAGTAGAGGGGATTTTTAGCCTTGGAATTTGGTAGTGGCTTTATGGTAGTCATAAGTGATCACCCCAATTTGACAAAGCAGGAAAGATTGTATCAAGATGATTTGATAGGCAGATATATATTTAATTATTTTGCCAATCAACCAACCATTTAAGTCATCGCGTTAACCATTGGTTAATGTACCGTTCCTTCTAAGAGCCACTGTATGATTTGAATCTAGCACCAAATTATAACTCGCCCTAAAATGCGCTTTTAAAACGACTACGCACAAATTTTCCTATCAAAAAATGATTCATTAGATAATTTTTAGCTTAAGTGTGATTCGGTAATTAGGGCACTTAATTTAAACATCCAACCAATGAAAGTACGCATTACATGAGATATTGTAATCAAATGACAACCAAAACATTAATGAAGATTTCACAAACAAAGAATTCATAATAGATACTAACCTTCACCATATTTAAATTAATCATAACGCAAGTTGAATTATTATCGTTAATTATGCACTTTTTAAGAAAGAATAACGAATCTGTGATGACAAAATTAAGATAAAGCAGCAATACACATTTGTCAGCGGAGTATAAATTTCTGCGATCATTAGTGGTGCAAAAATAGCTGCAAAGTGTCATAAATCCCTATCGGTATGCTTGAAATTATACTAACCACTTAGATCTCACTTCAGGGTTCACAAGAAGTGTGCCAAATGACACCTTGCGCATTCCTTCAGTAATGTTTATCAGAAAATAAATGCACCATCAATTTAGCAAAGCAATGCGGGCACTTCAATGCAACTATTAGCGACAAGTAATTCAGCCTGCACACATCTTTTTATGGGAGAAAATCAGACAATGTTAACAGTTGACATAAGCTTACAAAGATTATTAAATTTTAGAATGAAGGTCTCTTTGTAGATTTATTCTTCGTCAATCAACTCATTAGTGGAACCATTCGTCCAGATTAGCATTGTGGACGGTAAGAGGAGGCTGCTCTGGCCTACTGGCAAAATTATAAGGCATCATGAGGACCACTCGAGGGGTGCGACTTTCTCTCCTTACAAATTCTCCTAAGAATTTAAGATAATCTGGAAAAAATGTTTGCTCCACTGATTTTTAAGGAGATGGCGAAGTTGTAATCAACGCCCCTGGCAGCATTAATTATTCGATTAAAATTGTCATTTTAACTAATGCCTTAGGAAACGTGAAAACGAGACGTCATTGTCGAAACTTAAAAAAAATTATGCTATTCAAGATGTATGATTCCGATAAAATTACTCATACAAAAGCATTATTACTGAAACTGTGATGGATTTAAATTTCATGGCTTTGAAAGGCCTTCTTCAATATCCTTGTACTCAAAGTTAAGTCATATTCGAATTTGTATTTCCTGACAGTCTCAGGCAAAAGGTAAATTTTTGATTCAAGTAAAGTCTGGAGTAATATGAATTAAATCCCTTATAAGTATTGAAGATCACATTTTAAATTTGCTTGAACACAGGACCAAAAGAGATAAACTAACGAACTGAAGGTCACAGACGCCTCTTCATTATTCAAATCAATTTATGATGTTACCTCATCTAAATGATGCACTTATTCATATAATAAGCTCAATTTATTACTTTGAAAACAATTTGAATGTGAGGCATTTACCAGTAAATGATTTTTACGGGCTGTTCATTGGTGTTTGCTTTAAGTATTTCTATTGGCAGTTGCATGGCGCTAAAATAGCAAATTTATTGTAATGCAGCGAAATATGGAACAATATTTTAAAATGGCTAAAATGAACCATTTAAAAACTAATTTCAGGTTTGAGCGGAATTTGCAAATAGAGAATATCTAAGCATTGGATGGGGAAATCGATTGTAAGGGAGCAAACATTGTTTCTGAAATTGTTTTTTTCATCAAATTTTGCTAATTCATACTAGAGAAGATTAGTCAGCCTTCTAATTACCTTTTCTTAGGTAGTCTTTCAGCAATGTGACATTAATCATCTTAATGGGAATACTGTTAATAAAAAAGTGCCTGAAATGCTATTGCTTTTTAATCATATTTAAGCTTTATTTGCATTGGCATTTTTCGATCGATTTATCAATATCCTCTTAGCCACTTTTGTGTTTCTTCATTTCATTTGTAGACAAGTGGACTTGTCACCCTTGCATGCATTCCTGAAGACCGGTCGTTTATTCTATTTAACGCACTTGGAGGAATGCCAAGTGAAGGTGTTATTTCTTTTTCCAAGTAAGAAAATTAAACATGCTTCTCGTAACATTAAAGGCTTTTAGAATCCGGATCAAAAATGATTCAATTGGTTGCTAAAACTCTGAAGTGATCATGTGGACGTCAATAAAATGTGACACCTACGCTTTCAGGTATAACCCATCATCTCAGAAAATTTCGATTTACTAGCAGTAAAAATCATAGCTCCCCCATTTTTATCTAGGGGGTTTGAAGTGTCAAGGTTCTCTGTCAAAGATTACTAGTGTGCAAGTTCAGAGGCTGAAGAAGATGATGCAGATCTTAATAAAATGATTACTATAGACTCTAATGAAACTTTCTTGACCTGGCCTGTTATTCAATCACGCAGTTCCTCCCCCCCCCCCCCCCCACATCTATTCCACCTTTTGGAGTTAATGGGACATTATTCATCCAACCCTTTCTCATGTTTATACTTGTCACGCTTGGTCATTCCTTTGGAATGTTACATAACTTCATCTTGTCTTTCTGTTTGTGAATCGGACAATAAATTGCAATGGCAATGGTAAAGGTCTTTGAAGGTGACATAATACACAATCAAATACATTTAAATGGGATTCCAAAGCTTAAAGGCGAATTCTCACTAACCAAGGAACCTCCCTCTCAACCGTTTTAAAATTTCTAAGTGGTAACGCCTCTCTTAGTTGCAATCATTAGAAAATGTTTAGATTAAATAGCCTTTTTCAGTAAATTTACCTCGACGTCAAATAGAGTTAGAAGCTTTTTAAGTTGAAATGATAGCCAAAATGTTATGAATTCCAGCATTATTGTCTGATTTAAATTTTGCAAATTACAATCTACAAGATTGTCTGGAGTCAGCTAACAACACCAATCTACCCAAGCCGACGTTCCTAAACAGAGTGTTTCAGTGGGAAAGCCAAGGTAGAAGCTCAGTGTGGCTATTGATTACAACAGGCCACAGTTATTGGTCCCTATTGCTCCTGATGAAGCTCAACAGACCTAGGACAAACTGTCTTTTATACTCGTAATGTGTAATCTTTATACTATTCACTTCTTTTGTCATCTTTCATGTATCCTACAGACACTAACCCTTATCTATATGCTCTAAAATATTGAAAATGTATTTAGACCGCGCTTTTTGGCACTTGACAAGACTTCGAATTATGGATCACTTTAGATAAACCAAGATTTCTATTTATTCCCTTTATCTTCTCCTGACATGACAAATGTGCTGAGACTAATGGGCCTTCAGATATCACCTAGTCACATTGATTTCCGTTGCAAAAATTTAATAGCACTGAAAGACCACACCTATAAAATCACTTTTGCACACACCATACAGTTGGAGTTAGTAAAACCCATTTATCGATTTTGTTACCCCTTGAAGGTTAAAGCTGTATTGTTTATCGTATTTATTCATTTTGTAGTAACTTATTATTAAAAGATAAAATAAATTTATTTTAAAATATACACTGATCTTGCATGTCCACCTAATGAGTGGTAAGGTTGAGAGAAAGCTATTTGAAGTGTATATTTCATTTGATTTAGTTACGATGACAACGGCGTAATAGAAGTGTGATCTGTGATTGAATTCAAGAGATCTGTTTCCCCTGTTGGCAAATTTCACGAGAAAAATATGACAACCGGGGTGGCAAATACGTTGCGGCTAGATATATCAGATTCCGCACTCAGTTCCCATAATTATTCACACTTTCTCAAACCTAGACTCACCAGAGCTTTATACACCTCGTGAATGTCCGGCTACATAATCGACCAACAACAGAATGGCCGATAAGGGGGAAAGTTTTTTTATGTCTTATACATTAAATTGTATTCTCTCCATGGTTGGGCAGCTTATCTCTCAAAACTTTTAATAAGGATGTGCTGTGTCCTGTACAATAGCGATAAGTATAAGATGCTGTGGCTATCCCTGGTCAGGACGATTCTGGTGGAAAATGGATTATTGCAGGGGGGGGGGGGTTCTATCCCATTGATCCACTGAAGTACTTCGATAAGCAGTCAAAACCTAATATTTGCTCTCAATGTAATTGCTTTAAAGATGACATTTGTAGGCTGGTAGCTACAATTCCACACCAAAACTGAAAAAGATTTCCGAAATTATTGCTGTTTCAAGTGAAATGACAGTATTATGGACAGGATTGAATTCGTAGGAATAGTCGCTTCATCGAAGAAAAAGTGTTCAAAACTATCAAGAATATAAAAATAAATGATATCATCATCGGTTGATATGCTAAAATGCAGTCTGTAAAGTCCTTTTTTTCAAGAAGATGAATAATAAGAAATTTCAAAAGTATGTTTAAAATGATTCACTTCTTATCATTAGTGATTATGAGGAGATCTATATGGTAACCAAGAATTCTAAAACTTAAAAAATGCAAAGAGGAAATTAGTATGCTGAGAATATTCTTTCTACGTACTCCAACTCCAGCCAATAAAACGGAGAGCGAACCGTGTAGCTGCTTCTTGCCAAGATGAGATGCAAATCCCAAAACCGAAACATTTTTTTTCAATCAATGGTGTGATCGAACATATCAAAAAATCATTCACTAGGTACTATTGTCATACATGTGAAGCGTTGCAAATTCAAGAGAGGACAACGATCATCTTTTAAATGCCATCAGAATGCATACTGAGATAACAAACTCGCAGTTGATGATAGCTGTCAATAAGAGGCATATCCGGGCATATCCCCGGCAGTGATCGAGGAATGAATACCACTGCTAACGCCTACCCTTCTCAAAAGGAGTAGAAATGTCATTAGAATAAGCCTCAAGTGTTTATTTCACCTTATATCTGATGTCTTTTTTTAACCCCGTAATT